CTTAGAGATGAAATTACTGGAGCTGCAGGCTGCAGAAAAGAAAGTCAGAAACTGTTTTCTGCACATGCTACGAAACTGTAACATAATACTCAGCCAAATCATGTAGGATGCCTGGGGCCAGCTGCAGAAAGTATACAATTTAGCTTACCATAAAGTATGTACCTAAACCACATCAGATAAATCATATCCTACAAATGCCCTTATCCTCCCTTCCCAACGATGAAGGCAGCCACACATAACTAACTCAGAAGCAGCTGCCCGTGCTGCAGACATGGGAAATGCGAGAAGATGAACCCCAGCTGCGGGGAATACGAGGACACGAGAGGCTCCACCAAAGGGAATGGACTAGTCTGGTATGGCAAGAGAAAGCCAAGTACGACCCATCGCAGCCTGCTCTGGAAATGCGCAGAGCTTAGCAGAGTGATAAAGCATCAGCGGACAGCAGCAATGGAAGAATCTATGCCTTTTATTTATTTATTTCAGAAAAATACTTTTGTCGAGTTTATCACAAAAGTCATCGAACAACGAACAACAACAAACAAAATCCGTACAAAAATTGAAGTGACAGGAAGAATGAAACAAACAGGATAAAATGTCAGAGACTGTTACTTCTCCCCACCCCCTCCAAAATTCGGAAATTTGCACTGAAGTATAAATATGGAAGAACAGAAATTTTCCTCAAGTTCCTTTGCTGAAGTTTGGTCCATCGAGTTCAACGTATTCCAAGAAAAACTACATGCCTCTGCCCAGCTTTTACAACAGCTATTCTTCCCCGCTGCCAGCAAAACCCCACGTGCAGCCCCAAGGCGAAGTAACATACTTCACAGCTTGAGGATAAAGCCTGCCAAACCATCTATTACGCACTCGTGAAGTTTACCAGAAGGCTCTAAATCAAACCCCATAATCTCCACCTACTGTTGACGCAAGTCAGGGTCCATCTAGCAAGACTTCATCTAAGGCAAGAGACGGAGGCTGCTGTAAACCCCCATGCCGTGTGGGGTATATACAGGCTTCACGACTCACTTGGAGGCAAGGGGGAGGCACCCTAGAGTAGTCATTCTTCCTTCCAACCAGGAAGCCTACCAAAAAATACATTTGAAAATGGTGAATGAAAAGTAAGGGGACCTACAAGGGAACCGGAACTTTTCTTCTTGGCTACTAACCCAAACACAATGAGTAAGAAGAAAGAATCCTCAACAAACAACAAGAAAAGAAAAAAAAAACAACAACCAACTGCAACTGTAATGCCCCATAACATAAGAATCGCTCAAAAATTATACGTGAAATGCTACATCTGTTCTTCTTCTGCCCCTTTCTCTTCCCAAGCCCATTCCCCAACTAAGACAGCTCTTCTAGCCAAGGGCAGGAAAACACTATGCTTCACACCAAAACTCACAGACTACTCAGTCCCCAACCTTCTTAGGTTGGACAATGGACACAGACTACAAAAGCAGCCCCAAGCCCACAAGGAAGGGTGCGAGCAACAGCGTTACACTGAAAGTAAGGACTTGCAGTTTTACATAGTCTCTAACATGCTGCACTGTGGTGGACGAAAGCTTCTGGGTTGGGGTTGGCTCTTTTTGGCAGAAGACACAGGGCTTGACGAGATGGGGCACCAGAAGAGCATCCACTCAAAGAAAGTAGACTGACGGCATCTTTGTACGCGGAGTGGTCAAGGAAAGACTGACCACCAAGGGCTTGCAATGAAAATACTCTGTTTGGGAAAGAAAAGGCTCTTTGGGCTGAAGAGAAGGCTCGGTCTGCTGAGAAATGACGTGGACACAGAACCAGTTACTGCAGGCTTGCAGCCAAGGGATGGTGCTCGAACTAGAAGACAGAGACAGAAGCAGCCTGTGGCAGCCCCTCTGATGGAGGGTGGATTGCAGACCTCTGGGATGACAGCGCATATTGCCTTACAGCACAGGCTCAGCTCAACAAATAACAAACAAACAAAAAAACAACCACCCCAAACCTGCTGCATTTGGGCATAACAGGAGAAGGATGGGGATTTCTGAGGCCTAAAGATAGAGAAGGGCAAAAAAAGCCCCGTCATCTATAGGTTAAAAAATAAAAAAACGAAAGAACACATGGAAATGTTTCCAAAACAAACCGTCCCTTTTACTGGTAGCTCTATCAAAAAAAAAAAGAAAACAAAAAAACACATAAATGTAGCATATGTTGTACATAAGTTGTAAAGAGGGAGGGCGTTCAGCTACTGATATAGTACACAGATCAAGCGTACGAGAAACTACATGGCAACATAAGGCACTTGGGATACAAAACATAATCAGCTACTTTATGGAGACGCGGGATTGTGCAAGTGGAAAAGCTGCCTGAAGCGAAGCAGGCAGGAGGAGGAATCATTCAGCAGCCAGGTTTTTTTTGGGGGGGGGGAACTATATGTGTCACCTGTTAACAGAGTCAATACCTCGGTGGCTGCGAGGCACCGGCTTTGCAGGAAGGACCGGCTGAGGCTCGGCAGAGACACCAGCCAGCAGTCGCTCTCGGAGGGCACGTGGCAGCAGATGACTGGGAATGGGAAGAGGCAGCAGAAAGGAAAAACCTCTCACACTAGACCTTTTCCACATCCTCCCTAATGTAAAGCTCTTTTCCCCCCTCTCATCACATTCCACTGCAGGCTCTGTTTGAGCCAAAATGTGTATTATCTACCCGGCAAGGGTGATGAGGAGCAATGGAAGATACCACCAAGGGTTCTGCTCCAATGTCTCCTTCCTCAGTTCCCCTGAAAAAAAGGGGGAATCCCTCTCCTGGAGTCCTGCTGACATCTCTCGTTTGGGACTCATGGGGATGGAGGAATAAGTAGAAATGAC